AAGTACGAGAGGATGAACCAGGCGATGCTTTCCATGATGATGATGTGAGATAGGAGGAGAAAGAAGAACAGGTGGTTGGTTTTGAACAGGTTCATGTCCTCAGCAGTCTTCTTCAGGGCCCGGAAGTCCTCGGTGATCTGAGACTGTTGAGCAAGGACATGGAAGAGAGTCAGCCTCTACACCCTCCAAGGGGGACATGCGATTGGGCCCAGCACACACTACAGCTGTGGCAAGCACCTTGAAGCCTTCATGAGCTCAGACATCAGGTGTGGCAACGGCCGCCTTACTATAGCTGGGTAAGTGGGAGAAGAAAAGTTGGACTTGAAAGCATGTACTTTTAATCATACTCTGTGAATTAAGTCAGTCTCAGAGACACAACTACCTTGCGTTTTCTCTCAGTTCTCTAGTGGATCCCAGACTACTATAGATATATAACAACTTGTATGTACAGATACACTAAGCTACAAGTGAACATACAAGGCTGTATGGGGGCAAGAGGGAATAACAGGGCTGGAGAGACGGCTCAGCAGTTAAGGCACTGGCTACCCTTCCATAGGACCAGGGTTCATTCCCAGCATTCAGATGGTGGCTTCAGCGATCTGTAACTCTAGTCCCAGGAGCATCCAACACCCTCTTCTGGCCTCCCAGGGTACTGCATGCATTGATGCACAGACATACGTGCAGGCAGCAGATTCAAACACATAAAATAAACATAAAGGTTAAAAAAATTTAAGGGAATAAAGATGGTAGAAGGAGGGGTTAGGAGGAGAGCGGAGGAAGTATATGTGTGTGAAAATGGCCTCCTATAACCCTGTGTAATAACAATAGCAATAATTAATAATAAGCGCCTTGTACCTTCTACACCAGTGTCCTCAGAAGCTTTATTTACAATAGGCAAACAAACAAACAAAAATAGAAATAGGAGCTAGAGAAATGGCTCAGTGTCTAAGAGTGATTGTAGCTCTCACAGAGGACTGAAGCTCTGTTCCCAGCACCCAAGTAAGGCCACTCACAGCTGCCTGTGATTCCAGCTCTGGGGGATCTGATGCCCTCTTTGGGCCTTCATGGACACCACATGTACACACACACACACACACACACACACACACACACACACACACAGTCTCTCTCTCTCTCTCTCTCTCACACACACACACACACACAAACACCACTTCAAAAAAAAAAAAAGAAACAATCCAAGTATTTAATGATGAATGAGAGGCTAAATTCCACGTGTATTTAACCTTTTGACATTGCAACACAATGTTGTCATTTGCAAAGTCCACACTTGAGAACTTTCCCTAATTGAAGTTACAGAGCACACACTCTAATGTTTTAAGTAAGTTTACGACTTTGTGTTAGGTTGCAGGTTGAGTCTGCCTGATTGTGTTCCACACATATAACAGACTGTTCAGCTTTAAAACAAAGAAAAAATTGGCATAGTGCTAGAATATGTGTCCTATAATGAATGAAGTTTGTGCTAAATGAAATAGGCCAGCTAGAAAAGGATAAATGCTTCCATGAAGATACTGGAAAGGAACCCATTATTCTGTACAATCAATACACACATGGTGGCCCAGATGTGGCAGCACACACCTGCAATCCCACAACTGAGGGAAAGCAGGAGGATTGGGAGTTCAAGGCCAGACTGGGCAGTACAAGACTGTATCAAAACAACAAAGAATACAAAAACGATGAAAATATACACTAACAAAACTCTGTAAAGGACAAATGCAGTATGATTTCGTTTATGAGGTGCCTGGAGGAGCCAAGTGCTTAGAGACCATAGAATGGCATTCAGCAGAGGCTGAGGGAGGTGAGGAGATGGTGTTAAGGGTACCGAATGTCAGTTGGAGAAAGAGTTCTAGAACTGGATGGTGGGAATGGCTCAGCAGGAGAGCGAGTGCTGCACACGCCACCGAGCTCCACGCCTCAGAAGGGAGCTCTTGCATCTTTCACTACCTTACTGTGGAGGTGCAGGATGGGGTCCTGCTCATGAGCAGCAAAGATGCCAGAGAGGCCTCGCTGACTGTTGAGCACAGTGACCAGGGAGGCAGAGTCCTCTGTGGGGAACCAACCATGAACCCAGGCCAGAGCCTGTGCCCTGATTTGCTTTGCTGAATGAGGCCCTAGGGTACAGGCTGGTAAAGAATTACTCCAGCTCAGGCAAGGAGCAGGAAGGAACAGCCTGGTCTGGTTTCCCCTAGAAAACTTCTCTGCCCTGGATGACAGTTGGACATGTCACCTCTCTGGAACAGGTAGGGGTGATGGTGGCCCAAACTCTCCTGCTGGCACCAAGGCCTCACATAGTGTGCCTGTCGAAGAGGAAATTGCCTCAGCTCTGAGACCATGGTGTGCCTTTGAGTACCTCAACCATCTCTCCCTACAAGATGCCAGGCCAAAAGGCTTGGGACACAGGGATGGGTACTCTCGGCCTACTTAGGGCCAGTGACTCCAGTCGGGAAAGTTAAGGATGGAGGAGAGGGAAAGGGTGGGACTCTCAGGTTAGAGGACTCTATAACATGCTATTCCAAACAACTCCATCATGTATGCCAGGTCTGGTGTATAAGCTGTGTCACTAGTAAATACTCAGCTGGTGAGGCCTGTGGAGTAATTTTTACCACTCTTTGAAGCCCAGCACCCAGTAGGGTGTCTGATTAAGCAACAAATGGTCACTCATTCTCTAAGTGACTCATTCCAAAGCAGCCACCTTATCATTAGCTGATACCGTCTCACTGTTTCTGCCCTTTCTTAGATGATCATGTAGCAGACCAACATCCGGCGGCAGCCCTGCGTAAAGGAGAGAAGGAGCAAAAGACCAGTTGGGAGAGAGGGGATACCACCGTCACCCAGCTGGAGGCACCCAGGGGACACTTTGAAGTCCTCAGGGCCTCCTTCTGGACTGGCTCAAAGACCCTCCTGCCACAGCCCTGGCAGTGGGTTCCTAGGGAGAAAATTACCCCTACCGTCCACCCAGCTTCATCCCACCCACACCAAGGTTACAAGTTTCACTCACGCTCTTGCCGCGGTCCAGGCTGGGCTCCTCTGGGGCCAGCTCACCAATCAACAGGGGCTTCAAGAACTTGCCCACGAAATCAAGGTCCAAATGGAAGGCTCGGAAAGCATCCTAGGAGGTAGAGAAGCAGATAAGAGCAGTAAGACCAGGCGTTGGTTTGGCAGAGACAACTAACCAGGGCCCAGGGGGGTGCTGTAGAGACTGAAATACCAACCAAAGATCATGGACGGACTGGAACTAGACCCCCTACACAGATGTAGCCAATGGGCGGCTTGGTCCTCATATGGCTTCCCTAGTAAGGAGAGCGGGGGCTGACTCTGACATGGACTCTGTTGCCTGCTTTGGATTACTTTTCACTGGTGGGAACTGCCTTGCCAGGCCACAAGGGAAGAGGATGCACTCAGTCGAGATGCAACTTGATATGCTGGGGTGGGAGGGAGCTCCCCTTCTCTGAGGAGTAGGGGAGGGGAGATACCGGGAAAAGAAGGGAGGAACCAAGAGAAAAGGAGGGAGGGGGCTACAATCAGGATGTAAAGTGAATAAATAAATAAATAAAAATTTAAAAAGAATATATATAATAAAGGATATGTACATCGATACAATATGTATCCAACTGGAGAAATATATATATATATATATATATATATATATATATATATATATATATATATATATATATATACCAAATGGAGAAAACTTGACAGCATTTCCTGGAATAAATGTCCACTAGAATGTCCACTCTCTACCCTCTTATTCAATATACTACTTTAAGACTTACTTAGGGTAATAAGTCAAGAAAAAGAAACAAAAGGGATACAAACAGGAAAAAAGAAGAAGTAGAAGAAGAAGCGGTAACACCAAGCCCCAAACCTCTGCTGACTTCTACCCCCAGAAGGAGGATGCAGCAGCTGCAGCTTCCAAGTGGGGCTTCCCCCAACCCAGCGGCAGATGCTCCACTGCAGACTCGGTGTGCAGGACTTCAACTACAAACAGTAGCCACCCGAGCCTCTGTACCGGTGCCAGGCCTGCTGGGCTTGTCAAGGGTTTGAGGACGGGTGGGTCTCCAGGGAGAACAGGTAGGCACAGAACACAGAGGAGACAGCCCTGGCCTGCTCCTGACCTGAGCGTCTTTCACAGCGCACAAACTACAGCACCCGTCACTCCAAAGATCGCCTCGTCCACATGGCCACAATTATCAGCAAGATATAAGACCCAGGGTAGGGGTTTAACTCAGTCACAAGAATACTTGCTCAGCATGTGTGAGGCCATCAGCTCAACCCCTGACATCTAGAAAATGACTACAGTGTGAAAAAAAAAATGTGCTTAGATGACATTAAAGAACAGCAGAAAAAGAAAATAACATGGAACTACGTAAAAGAATTCCTGAAAAACCCTGGAGCAAGGCTGGGGGGATTTAAATTATTACTAAAGACACGGGTTATGCCTTGTTTTATTTTCATTAGTCTATAAACTCTTTCTAATGTTGCTATTATACTTTGCATTTTAATCTTTCTCATTCTGGAGACGAAGTAGAAATATGCTTAATTTTGGCAGCATTAGAAAATGCCCAGAAGAAAGAAGAAAGATAACCATCATGTGGGAAGTCCATCGATGCTAAGGTTGTAGCATTTGTGCCAGCTTCTTCTCCACAGACTATATACAGCAAAAATTACCTCCCCAAAACCAAGCATCTGTCCTAGAGGCAAGTCTGTACCAGGTGCCCCGGGGTATGCAACTGGATGCTCCAATTTCACATGCCTCCTGCCTCCCACCACTCATTCAAATTGAGGCACCAGAGGGTTGAGTTGAACAAGCCATACAGTACCAGGAAAAACAAGCACAAAATCAGTGCAGTCAGGCAGAGAGAGATGTGAGTGTGGGAACAATGGTCTAAATGGAGACATGTAAACCTTATACTTTCACATGAGAGGCTCCTTTTTGGAGGAAATACAGAAGTTATACAAGACTTTTGGGAGGTAGAGATAAAAATAAAAATGAGCATTGGGAGTTTTGATCCAATGGGGATTATTAAATTTTTTTTTTAAAGTAGTGTCTCATATCATCCAGGCTTGCCCATAAACTCATATGTAGTCAAAGATGACCTTAAACTTTTTTTGTTTTTGTTTTTCTTTTCTTTTTTCTTTTTCCAAGACACGGTTTTTCTGTGTAGCCCTGGCTATACTGGACTTGCTTTGTAGACCAGGCTGGCCTCAAACTCAGAGATCCATGTGCACCTGCCCTTAAACTTTTGATCTTCCTGCTTCAACCTCTGAAGTGCTTGGATCCCAGGCACGTGTCACCATGCCTGGTTTATGCAATGCTGGGAATTGAATCAAGGAGCATGCTAGGCAAACACTCTATCAGATGGACAACAACGCCAGCCTCTAATTATTTTTTCGTGAATGTGATAGAGGTATTATGATAATCACAGAACATCCTCATCTTGGAAGAAGATGCTAAAGAATTTAGGGGCATGTGATGCAGCAACATTTTTGCTGTATTACTTTTTAAAAAGTTTTAGATTCATTTATTTTGTGTGCATGAGTATTTTTCTAGCATGTATGTAAGTATACCATGTGTGTGCCTGGGGCCCAAGAAAGTCAGAAGAGAGCATCTGATCCCTCGAAACTGGTGTTACAGATAGTTGTTAGCCACAAAACGGGTGCTGGGAATTGAACCCAGCTCCTCTTTCCAGCTTGTTTTACCTTAAAAAAATTTTTTTTTTGCATTTATTTATGTATTTGTTCATTTATTTACGTATGTGCACCCAGCAGATGTGAAAGTTAGAGGACAATGTTTGGGTTATCCATTCTTTCCATCTACTATATGGATTCCAGGGACTGAACTCAGGGCATCAGGCTTGGCAGCAAGTGCTTTAACTGACCATTCATCTTGCCCACCCTGTGCTGCTCTTTTACATGCATCATGTCACACACACTGGCCTCAAACTTACGTCACAAAGGTTGGCCTGGAATCCCTGATCCTCTTGCCTCAACCTTCTGAGTTCTGGTTTTAAAGGCATGCACTGCCACACCTGGCGTTGATACAACTTAATTTAAAAAAAAAAAATTGTCTACACATAAGGAGCAAGTAAATGAGATTAAACATTGCTGTTAGTGATCTTGGTTCCAAAGAGACAGTGTTTATTTATCTTTCAACCTCTATAGTCAGAAAGAGGGTCACATCTGTAGCAATCCCAGCAAGGCCATTATATGAACCTGCAAAGTCATATTTTGTACAAGAGAACAATGGCAGAGATAAGCCTGCTGTCCTAGGAGCCTTAGGCAGGCAGTGGGGAGGGAGGACCAGTTTCTGCTAGTCCCAGGCTCGGGCTTCTCTACAAAACAACACACACACATGTGCACACAGACAGAGAGACAGACAGATAGACACACACACACACACACACACACACACACACACACACACACACACGGAGCAAGACTCTGAGAAAAAAGTCCAGCAAGAGTTGTCAAAGCTCTGGGGCTCAGGCCTGGTCCCCTCACTGTAGACAGGAAGTCCCCTATAAGTTTCCTCTGTACTTGTTGAAAGATAAAGTTTGGTAGCCAGCAAGTGCCTTATTCACCTCAGCTCTTCCCACCCTCTCACACTACCCCCTTCTCCATCCAGGATGCATCTAGCTATGGGGGCAAATGAGAGCCCTGTCTTGCCCTTGGTTGCTCCTCAGCCATTTGCACAGGGCTCTGGGGAAGCCAGGGCTCCCTGAATCAGGTGAGGGACATAGCCACAAGCCAAGCCGTGCCCTTTAGCACTGCAAAGCCTGAGGCGGTAAGGTCCTGAATGCTGGGACGCACAGCCAGACTTCAATCCACTTCACCTGACTCCTGGAAAGCCTCTCACCAGCTCAGAAAATAAATGCTCCCTGGAACCAGCTCACTGTCCTGGCAGATGTAGTAGCTTCCAGAACATGCTCTTGAACACATCAACTTTCTTCCCACACCTGTGCTAGAGGTGTGGGCCCTGCTTCAGTGTTCCTTCCAAGAAACTTTCCCCACACATCTTCTTCAGCCTTAGGCTTCCCAGAGGCACTGCTGTTTTCTCTTCTTCATACCCAAGTCAGATCACCACCCAGGAGACTGGGGAGATGGCTCAGTGGATTAAGGCTTGCCATGCATGAGGATTGGTGTTGGAACCCCCGACACTCATGTAAACTCAACCTTCTGTAATACCAGTGCTGAGGAGGCAAAAACAGGAGATTCCTCAGAACAATATGGCTAGCTAGACTGGCTGATTCATCAAGATTTAGCTTAAGAGTGACATCTTGCCTCAATAAATAAATTAGATAGTGATAGTGGAAAGCACCTGATACAACTTGTGGCCTCTGCAAGTACATACACATACACTCAGCCCCACATACATGCTAGCACAACACATTTGAACATACACACACACTCCACATGTATAATACATATGTACATATATATGATATATATATGTGATGTCTGTATATACACACACATACACACACACACATATATATTTATATTGCCTAGTGCGCCTGAAGCCCTGGGGTCCTGGGTTCAGTCCCCAGCATGGCATAAACTAGGTGTGGAGGTGGAAACAGGAGTATTAGAAGTTTAAGCTGTTCTCAGCTACAACCTGAGTTTGAGGCCAGCCTGCAGTACATGAAAAAACAACACCCAAGATTGCATAAATTGTGTGGCATACTCATTGTAAAGCCTGTCACCCGCCACCTAGAGGTGAGGGGACCACATCTAGCCTGACCTGACCATCCCCGCACCTGCTTCACAAGAGTTCACAGTGCTTGAAGAACCCCAGGGCCCAGTGGCTCTGACCCTCTAATGTCTCCACCCTGTAGCCCAGAACAGACTCTGCCCTCTATCATTTCATACAACCCGATTTCTACTTCTGGAACACGAGAGTTCTTGGTCTCTTTAGGCACTCATACCTCGGGGTTGGTCTACCTCTCTGCCTAGGCTAGGCAGCAAGCCATGTGAGTGCCTGTGTCATCAGCCATTATTTTCCCAGATCTGGGAGGTAGGTTGTTTTCTTGTTGCCTTTGGTTTGTGCAGTACTAGGAATGGTACTCCAGGATTTTGTAGAAGCCAGACAAGCAATATACCACCCTAGCACTTCAGGCCCTGCTTTATTGATGAGAAGAGGCCTAGATTGGTGACCTTGCTTGTCCATGGTCACACCTCAGGAATTGGCTGGGCAGAGCCTGGGCAAGATGGGCTAACTGTAGATTTTTCTGCCATTAAGACAAAGACTTGCCTTGAAATGAGCTTTCTCTTCCTCATGTATCTCTGCTTCAAGGGACCATAGCTGTACCTTGAACGCTATGGCTCCCAAAAGCTGTCTGGTTACAGGGATGTCAGGTTGCAAAGTAGGCCACAGTTCAAGGCGAAGCAGGGCCAACCCAAATGATGATTTTGGAACGAGCGTGAGAAGCAGGATTCCCTTCCCTGACAGGGAGAGAAGCCAAAGTCTTTCTAGGAAACAGGCCAAGACATGGGCAAAGTGAGAGGAGTATCCGGCAGGTGCAGGAGATCACCTAGTGGGGTCAGGCTGCAGGAGGCAGCTTCAGAAGCCCAGATCCTGAAGCAGCGAACTTGCTGTTCCTCAGCTGCCGTGACAGTCACTTCTCTGGGCCCTGCTTTCCTGCTCTGGGCAGAACTGACTATTCCTGCCCTTGCACTGAGCGCAGGGTACCAAACCCTGTTTCTGACTGTGCCCAGGTTCTTCTGCACAGCGAAGCCACAGTAAGCTAGCTTTCCACATCTAGGAATTTAGCCCAGGATTTGAGAAGTACAGGCTCAAAAAATAAGGGTACAGAGTGGCTCATGAAGCTGTCTAGGGTTCTTTGACAGTTGCTCAAAGCAGAAGGAGAAGCAGGAGGGATCTGGGAGTTCACAAGTAGAGATTAAATAGATGGCAGGTGCCAGGAATACTGACTTCTGACTTCCTTTCTGCAGCACATAGGTACAAGCAGGGCAGAAAGCCTACTGGTCCTGTCCCCTCCAAGGAGAAGAGGCTGAGGAGGTAGGCGACATAAGCCTCTGTGGCTCATAAGCCTCTTGGTAAGAGAATATCTGCTAACTCAGGATGTTGGACTTCCCTGGCTGCACAAGAAGTTAGTTCCCACAGAGGCAGGCAGGACAAAAAAACATGATGCCCTTTGCACCCTTTCCATTTTCATGTGTGTATATGCACACGTGCATGTATATGGAAGCCCGAGGTTGATGTTGAGAATCACCTTCAATTGCTCTTCCACTTTACTCATCAAGGCAGGGCTTCTCAATCAAACACAGAGTTCACTGGCATGGTTAGCCTTGCTGGCCAGCTTGCTATGAGGATCCCTTCCCTCTGCATTCAGAGGCTAGAATTACAATTCAGCTACCACTCTACCTGGAATTTTTGTGGGTTCTGGGATCTGAGCTTTGTTCTCAACTAGCAAGTGTTTTAACTACTAAGCAATTTCCCCAACCTGATTCTATTTGTAATTTACGAGAACCACTACAGGGGCATGCTGGGGCTCGATATGGGTTTTTTCTCCCACCAAACTGCAGCGAGCAGGAATCAGAAAGATGGCTCCTACTCAGCTGAAGAAACAGAGCTGTACGCCAGGCCTAGAAACTCCCAACTCAGCTTCTCTTTTTCATACCCTGACCCTCCTGCCTTGTCTACCGGGGCACAATTCCATTTTATCAACTGTTGCATTTTCACAAGAACAATATAGGAGCAGCTGAAAGATGGAACCGACCTCTGGTCCTCTCTGCCTCGCTTTGTCTCTAAGAAGTAAGTAAGCATGGCAGATGGGACAAAAAGCATAGATAAAAAGACAAAGCTGGAGAAGAGGCAAGAGCCTGGAAGTAAGTGCAGGATCCAGGCTGAAGCAAGAGAAAAAGAGGAAGGGACACAAATACAGTAGATGCAGGTCACTGTCCGTGAATTATTCATCTTTGTGCTGAAGCCGTGCTCGGAGCCAAGCTCAGAGCCATGGAGATGCTCAATGAATGTTTGATGAGTTCTTGCTGAAGATGAAAATTCACAAGTGGGCTCATTTTGTACTGACCACATTCCCAAGAAAAGTGCAAACATTGGTTAGGCATGGGTGACAGTTCTTTGTGCCTACAGAGAATCTAAGACAGGAGAAGCTCTGGAGGACCAGCAAGCAATGACTAATGATACAGAAATAAGAGTCAAGGAGAAAGAGAGGAAGGTGAGGCTGCAGGGCTTGCTGCCAGCAGATCCTGAACGCCACCTGGGCAGGATTTCTGTGCCTCAAGACAAGACAGCTGCTGGACTGATCCGAGAATGAAACAAGATAGCATTATTATTGCAGTTTGCAGACTGCAAAATTTACATTGTTTATTTTTTAGTGCCAGGCTTTCACTATGGTACCAGGCTGACCTCAAAACCTTGTGTTCAAATGATCCTCTTGCTTCAGCCTTCTTTGTAGCTGGGATTCTGAGCATATGCCCCGAAGTGACTGACTACAGAAAGATCAAGTGACAACTGCTCCATCCTTCTAGGAAAAAAAGTGAGCACTTGTGAGGTGTTTTCTTCAGAGAAAGAAAATTCTTGACTGATACCTCGATTGTCCTCAGAAAGGCTTCTCTGGCCTTCTGGCCTTGCAAAACAGCCTGCAACTCTTGATGTTCCCTTCAAAGATCTCCTTGTTGCCCAAAGTCCTTTGTCAACCTGATCGCAGACAGTTTAAAAAGAAAAGGCTGGGGGATGCCAAAGAAAACCCCACTGTTTACTACACTGCTCTCCAATTCTGTCTCCAATGAGTGTGTTTTGTGCCCCCAAACTCTTACTTGGGAAAACAGTAAGCATTGGTGTTGTGATAATAAATGATCTTGTTTTGATTTAGTTTTCTTCTCCATTTCTCTTCGGGAACTTTTTGTTCAAGTTGTTTCATTCCTCTTGCTTGTCTCATAACTTTCCATAGTGTCTATCTGGTACTCACTGTTTATGACAAGCTTTGCCACACACATCTTATTGGAATAGGTACGGATATATCTCCTCACCAATGGGGTAAGGTGTCTCCTGGTGACTGCATCGAACAAGCCCACTGATCGCATCTTACCCCTCCTATCACGGGACAATTAACACCCCAGACACCAGACTCACAATCAACAAAAATGGCACTGAGGGTAGGAAGGCCAGATCAGCAGTGAAGAGGACATCAGGCAGTCAGCATACAAGAACAAGCCATGATGGGTTAGATGGGTATCTGATGGGTTAGATCTGAGCACAGACATTTGTAGGAATCTGGGCCAGAGAACATGAAGAACTTTCAAAACAAAGATGAAACACATCTGGCTTCTTAAGTATATTAAAGGCAGCTGTCAGACTGAGCTACCACACAAGAAAAGCTATTTATCTCACAATATAGAATAATCAGATCAAGCCTATCACATCTGCCATTTTACTTTTTAGGAAACTTTTTGGTGAGAGCCTGGAAAGGGAAGGAGCCTTTGCAATTCACCTACAGAGTCATGCACCACAAAACAATAGAAAGACCTCAACTAGGAGCCAGAACGTCTTCTCCCTGGGAAACCAAGTTCCTCTCTGGTCATGAAAAGGTCCAAGCAAGCAAGGACACTCAAGGACTGTGAAAAGCTTACACCCTCTTAAGGACTGGTTAGTATCACCTGGGCAAAGACAGGGTCCACAAAGGAGGAAACTAGACTTTAGGCAGTGTGAATATGGCCAGTTCTCTCCTCAGTCTGAGTAAGATTGTGTCCTGTTCATCAAAGCCTGCAGTCCATTGATTAGAGTATGGCTACCTAGGCTGATCTCAGAGAAAAGAAAAGAGGGAGAAGTTAAGAATTGAAACTAACAAACTTGCACACGGAAGTCGACAAACAGGTCTGCATCCTGGACTGTCAGGTGGAGTGTGTTCTGACTTTATCCCTCTTCTCAGCCTCTTTCCACTCATCTCTCCCAACCTAGACCTTTTCCTCTGTTCTCAGCTCACCACCACCGCCAAGAAAGGTCCCGTTTTCCTCCCTGACTTTTCCTCTTACTCAAGGGACCACACAATTCTTTATAGTGGGGGGGGGGGGGCAGGCACGACGTGGGGTACTATACAAATGTGGGGTTGCTACACATTTGATGTGCTTAAAAGTACCAGAGGTCCCCAAGATCCCAACAACCTCCAGGAATGCAAGAGGGAAAGGGTAATCCTGGAAGAATCTAAAAACAGAGGGCTATTGAGTTTAATGTCCGAGAGTAACCCCAGAGGCAGATGGACCTGTTGCCAAACCAGTCTCGGTGCTACTAAATTCACATTCTAGATCCCCTCTGGACATGGACTTTGCAAAATCCAGCCCATTCGCCTTCCACCAATGCCCCACCAGGGTTTCCCAGAAGGCTGGCACTTGGAGTGAGTCGGGATAATCCTTGGGAGCGTGGGAACCTGAGCTACTAGGCAGTCTGTTGGGCAGCCATTGTGGACCTTCTTCAGACAAGAGTCCAAGCAGGAGCGAATCCTGGCCAGGAACCAGCTTTCCTTCTCCGCCCCCCTGGTCTGGCAGGAGAGTCCCACATATGGCTGCCCGTTCTCAGGCTCCTCTCCGCGGCTCCCAAGGGTGGCCATCTTCCACATGGGGAGCGCCCGAAGCACCGAGGCCCGAGCGCCCCCTTGGGAGAGTCCCTGTCTCGGTCTGGACCGGCGCGCGGCACGCGCTGAGGACATGCACTGAGCACAGTTTGCTACTGATGGGACTTCCACAGAGGTGCTTAAGGTTTGGTGTCCAAAGGCTCGACCCACGTCTGCCCAGCTGGCCCAGAGTAGGACGATTCCAGGGGCGAGATGAGAGTAGTAGGTACACTTTCTTTCCCTGCTGTCCTGTGCTCCATTAAGAACCGGAGATCTGTTTGGCGCCCAGGAACCCTGGGTTCCTGACACCGGCCTGCAGCAGACAAGAGTGGCTGGCACCCCCAGACTCTTACCGTAGCATCTTCTCCCGAATAGTGCCCGATGACCCGGTGGCCCCCCGGGTGCCGCTGGGACCATTTGGTAACGTTGTAGACCTTGCGGTCGATGACCAGCCACCGGTCGGTGCGCAGGTTGTGCTTCTGAATCTCCTCCCAGCGGTAGGTGGGCATCGGAGCCTGGCGCTCGGTGCTCCCCTCTCCCTGGTTACCTCCCTTCCCCATGCTGCCTGTCTACCCAGATGCCCCGTGCGCTACGGCCTCCGGGCGCCTGCGGCTCCCAGCACCAACGGTCCCTCTCCCGGCCACAGTGTGCGGTCGGCGGCCTCCTCGCTTTCGGCTTTTGTCTTCTACTCCTCCTCCCACACCGCCTCCTCCCCTCGCCTTCGCTCCTCCTCGCCTTCACTGACTAGCCAGTATCCCAGCCTTTCCTCTAGAGTATCCCTGGCTTCCCAGTGCCCCCAAGCGGTCCCCTTCCTCCGCCCACCCTCGGCCCGCCTGCTGTGGACTTTTGCCTCTGGTGAAAACTCCAGGGTAGCTCAGGGCCTCGACGCCTCCTCCCCCAATCCCTCCGGCTCCCCCCGCTCCGGGCTCCGCATCCTCCCGAGTTCCCCGCCACCCGGGTTTCCACAGTGATCAGCAGAGCGCCTGCACCAATCAGGGCTCGTCGCCCCGCCTGCCATTGGCCCAGGAGGATCTTTCGAAGGCCAGCGGGCTGGAGCGGCGGGTCCCTGGCTCCCCCTCCCTCGCGCCCGCCCGCATGGAGTCAAGCCCTGCTGGAAGGCCGGCGACGTGTCCGACCTCCTCCCTTCGCTGGCTGGAGCGGGGGAAGCCGGAGTAGATCTCAGAGGAACTGGAAGGGCGAGCAGGGGCTTTTCTTTGCGCGCTTCAAAGCGCGAGCGCGCTGAGCCCGCGCTCCGGGAATTTGCACCTGATGCCGCCACAAAAGAGGCGCAGCGGCTGTAGTGAGCAACGTACAGCCTCCCGCGGGACGACAGCCCCTTCTGCGCTGTCTTGGCTAGGTGATTCCCTCACATTGTCTGCGCGACCCACATTGTTTGTTGCTCTTCTGCAACCTCCCTAGAGAAAGGATCCAGGAGTGGATCTCTGCTTAACCAGAGCTCTGAATCCTTTTATCAGACCATCTTAGAAAAGAACTGCAGAACCTCTGCTTTCTTACTAAGTGCCGTGGGGGTGGCCACTGGATGCCAGAATGAACTGGACACCTCTTGTCTTGGACTGAGAAAGAGTACACAGCCTGGTTGGGAAACAGAAGCAATAAAAGCCCATGATTGAATCGGCAGTAGTGCACCAATTGTGTGTGAGAGAGACAGAGAGAGAGAGAAAGCAAGAGAGGGAGAGAGAGAGAGAGAAAGAGAGAGAGAAAGAAAGAAAGAAAGAAAGAAAGAAAGAAAGAAAGAAAGAAAGAAAGAAAGACACTGATACCAAAAGAGTAGGGAGAAGGGCCCTGTTCACTGAAGTCTCACCTCCCTGTGATATTGTCATAGCTAACTTCCAAATGAAGGGTCTGAGGTTCAGAGAGTTAAAATGGTCAAAACAAACATGGTTAGCAAGAGGCCCTGTTTGGCCTCTGCCATGGTCCTTTGCAGACCTCAGGCTCCGTTGCTCCTCATGACATCGGTGCATAGGAAAATACTTGGTGCAGGAGGTGATGCCATTCCCACAGTCCCTTTCTTGGTATCCTCATCTGGTGCTTGCATCCATTAGGGGCATCTTTTCTTCACTCACAAACTGTACACTCAAGGAATGTGAGGCTTCTCTGCCTTAGAGGAGAGAAAAAAAAAAAAAAAAGACATCCAAACAGAAAGGCCTGCCCAACAGATAAGAGAAAATGAAGTAGGCGTGGTGGCCATGTCCATAAGGCCAACAGTCAGAAGCCTGAAGTAGGATTATTGCCATGAGTTCGGGGCTGGCCTGGGCTTCAAAGCAAGATTGTATAGGAGGGGGGAACATGACTATAAATAAGGAGCAAGATTGGTTTTTAAGCATGTTAAAGACATAATGTAATAGAGTCAAGAAAGCTGTTTTGTTTTTTTTTTTTCCTTCAAAAGATGGATCATCACAGTGCACAGATAACTTTAGTGAAAACTGTTTTTTAATTTAATGTACATTGATGTTCTGCCTGCTTGTCTGTGTGAGGGTGTCGGATCCCCTAGAAATGGAGTTACAGACAGTTGTGAGCTGCCATGTGAGTGCTGGGATTTAAACTCTGGTCCTTTGGAAGAACAACCAATGCTCTTAACTGCTGAGCCATCTCTGCAGCCCTGAAAACTTTTTAGACTTATAAAGCTCACAGGAATGAATGGTAGCTGAAAGGGAGCCCCAATAAATGTGTCACAGCAGAACCTTTGAAGGCTCAGAAAAGAACAAGTGAGAAGACCCCGAGAATGGACCTCAATAGACTCCAGATGAAATCGGGAATAAATAAATAGAGAGGACTGGCAGTGGGTAAGGCTCAAGTTAGGACCATTCCTACATGCCTACAGGTAGATGTGGCCTGAAGAATATCAGAAACTCACCAGTCAAGAGTGTGCTCCGATGGGATCTGTGGTGTGCAAAGAGAATTCCAGGGCTTGGTGCTACAGCCCAATTGGAAGAGTATTGACTAACATGTACTAAGCCCTGAGTTAGATTCCCAGAATGGTGGTGCACACGTGTAATTCTAGTACTCAAGAGGTAGAGGCAAGACCATCCGAAGTTCAAGTTTATCTTTGCTACAGAGTGGGTTCAGGGGAGAAAGGAAGGGAGGGAGGGACTACTGAGGAGATGATTCCATGGTTAAGTGCATGCACTGCTGTTTCAGAGGACCCAAGTTTGATTTCCAGCAACCATGTTGGCTAGCTCACAAGGGCCTGCAATTCCAGCTCCAGGGGATTCAACCCCCTCTTCTGGCATCCTTGGGTACCTGTACTCACACGCACACACCCACACACAGACACACATAATTAAAATAGTTTTTGCGTGGTTATTTTTAGAAAGAAAGAAAGCTACAGAGGCAGCTTAGGACCAGAAAGGGATGTAGGCAGAGTCAAGGGAAAGCAGGGTAAACTAAATGTTCTTGGGGAGAGGACAGGAGGCCTGGATTAGGCAATGGGTATAGGAGGCTGACTCTACACCAGATGTGGCCTGACATTGTCCTCTGCCCTCTTCCTGTTCCTCCCTAACTGATTGCTCTTTCTGCTTAGATGGGCTTGATGAGGGTGTTGACTCAGGAAAGACCTTGTAGTTTTCAAAGTACCCTAGAAAGGGCTGTCTCTGACACAGAGGGATGCTATTCCTTTGGCTTCTGCCTGCCCCTCTGATTCTGGTGCCCTGTACCCTCAGCAGCACTGAGAACTGCAACTTCCTGGGACCCTACCAGGACATCACCGTGATTACTGATCTTTATCAGGAACAAAAGATCAGCTTGGGTGGCCTGGAGCCCAGACCCTCCCAACATGCCAAATGGACAAATAACTAGGCCCATCCCTCAAGTGTGTGGGGAGAGAGGGCCTGTAAGGATGGTGCTCACATGCATGGACCTCACTGAATGGTTGAGAACAGTTTTCCATCTTGCCATTCAAGGAGACTCTGGTGGCTGCTGGAGACAGCTGCTCCGTAGAAGGAAGAGTCTAGTTTCTCAGGGGCTAAGTGAAAATAGACCGCACCCTTCAACCACCCTACCATTTGTAGTGTGTCAAGAGGGAACACAAGATACAGGCACCTTGTGAGCAAAACCAGTAAAGAGAAAGCTCAGAAGACAGAACATTCTGGTATCTTCCATCTCTTCTTTTTATTGTTGGTCGATATGGCCACATTGCCCTCAATCTTTAAAATCATCTCTCAAGTTGCCTCTTCCTCATGTCCTTATCCCCAACTCTAAAAGCTCATTTATTATCAGTTTTCCTGACTAGTCAGCCCATTCTTGCTTTACTTCCTATCCCCTTTCACTTCTCAGGTCACACTTTCCAATTCTAGAATATACTGGCCAGCTTCCCATGACAGATGCAAACACCATCCAATCAACCTAAACATGGAAATGCTTTGTTTGGACTTACAGTTCTAGAAGCATCAGGTCATGTCAGTTGAGCTTGTTGCTTGTGGTTTAACAAAATGGCAGAATATGTGCAAGAAAGAGATAAAGATTAGAGAGGGCTTCAAGGCCAAGAGATGGCCTGTCACACAAGCATGAGGACATGAGTTCAGATCCCCAGCACTGACATAGAAGCTGGGTGTAATGGTGTGTCTGCAACCCTACTTCTGGGATTGTGGCGAGAGAAAAAGATCTTCAGAACTGGTTGGCCAGCCAGCCTAGCCCATTGGTGAGCTCTGGGTTCAGCGAGAGTCTCTGTCTCAAAGGATAAACTGGAGAACCATACTAAAGGATACATGATGTTAATTTGTGGTCTCCACGTGCACATGCACTCACACATAATGCACATACATGCACAGAGAGAGAGAGAGAGAGAGAGAGAGAGAGAGAGAAGATTAGGGGCTTAATATTTCTTTCAAGGGCATATCTCCTATAACCTGAAGACATCCTTATTAGACCTCACCTCTTAAAGGTCTCATTGTCTCCCAATAGTGCCACATTAGGCACTATGAGTTTGAGGTCAGTCTGGACCTGCAAGAACTTATCTCAGTGCTGGTTGGGGTAGCATACACCTTAATCTCAGGACTCAGGAGACAGAGGCAGGCAGATCTCTGTGAGCTGATAGGTGATATTCTCAGGATTTGGGGAGGAAGTGACTTTATTTTTATGTAAATTATGTAACTTGCTACTTCCCTCCCCCCACAACAAAAAGATGCACCTCTTAGCCTGAAGATTGTCGTGGTACTGGAAGACACTATGCAAGCTTCCAAGGGGGGAGAAGCAATCGATAATCCTACCCAGCTGCAACACCTATGAACCAATGGTTATCCAACACAAGCTAGTTAGCCCTGAAACTATACACATACAAGCAACAAGGACAGACTCATAAGGTTGAATTTATATATTTTTGCATACACATACACGTGTGTGTATATGTAACAATAATAATCAAAGAAAACGTTATCAGTTTGAGTGAGGGACATGAAAGGAATTGAAGGGAAAGTGGCTGGAGGGGGAAAGGAAAGAGGTGAAGTGATATAATTATAATTTAATTAAAAATATAAAAGAATTTCAAATTTGTACAAATTTTTTTAAAAAGAAAGAGGAACAAGAAATGGGTAGGGATGAGGGATGGGGTACTAAATCCTAGAGTACCAAACTAATTGCACAGATTTAAAGGGGTGTCCTTCACCTGCGAGCAAACACATCCAAGTGTGATGGATAGTGACCACTTTTCACTCCTCGGGGTGACCAGGCCTGGTGAGGTACGCCTAGTCTGCAGTCCTCACATCAGTCAAGACTATTGCTTTTCACATGTCCCGATGTCCCTGTCATGGGAGAACATTGACATGACGGACAGACAGTAGGCCAGAGACTATTGGTACCAGAGACCCAGATCTCTGTCTACACTTTGGTCCTTGTTGGACACTTCATTCTGAACCAGGTCACTTGGCTTATCTGGGCCTCTGTCTTCTCGACTGGAAAGTGAGTATAA